GGGGCTCACAAGGAGGGGAAAAGCCAAGGTGTCGACACAATCCACAGACCCCCCCCCCTCCCGCCCACCTAACCTCACCGCTGAAGGCCAGAAGCACACCGCTTTTCTGTCCTTCACGCTGCTGGGCAGGGCTCCCAGGAATTGGACGACGTGTGTGGAAGTGTGTTGAAGTGATCGTTCTCTCCTTCCTCTTCCTCAGCACAGCTCAGGGCATTTGTCTTCTGCTCAGATCCGAGACAGACTTGAGTTTCTGATAACCCCGAAATGGAAAAGGGAAACTCACCCCTTCTCTCTCTCGCGCGCGCGCGCTCTTCTCCACTAAGACCCAGTGGAGGTCCAGGGCAAGATGGTGTGGAATGGGGCCAGGGCCGTCTTTTGAGCAATCTTTCTTGCAGTCCAATCCAATTCGGTTTGAAATACAAAGAAACCACCCTGCCCTTAATAGATTAAATTTTAATAAAAACACATTAGATTCGGTAAAATATGAATGCACTGCTTAAAAAATGTTAATAGTAAATCAGGCCCCAGAAACCAGGAGGAGACAGCGATGCCTTCCCCCGGGGTGGCTCGGGGTGGTGGGTCGATTTCCAGGTGTGGGGCGCCGACTGCCGGACCTGCGGCGAGTGGAGGGACTGAGCCAGAAAGAGGAGGCTCCCAGCGGTCCGCAGACGGGACAGCCAGCTCCTGTCGAACAAAGGGGCTCCGTTAGCGGAGGGAAGCTCGCTCCTCTCCTCGCAGACACTTCCCTTCCTTAGGCTTAAACACAAAGCAAACCCACAAACCAGTTCTCAGGGGCACAGTGCCTGTCGAGGCTATGCTGGGGTCACAGAAGGCAGGATTCTGGTTTGGGGGGTTGGTGCCAAACTTTCCAGTGGTTTAGCTGGGGCCTGCTCGGGGCGGGGGGGGGGGGGGGTCTGTCTTCCCCAAAGAGCAGCCAGCGACGCCGGCGGGCGACTCTGAAATGGGTTTTTATTGACATCACTGCCAGGATGTAGGCATTCCGGACACTCAAGTCGTGGTGATCAAGGCAGAATAATCGCATTTTCTCTCCAATAGCAACACAATCGCCGCTTTTGTTCATTTTTCACTTTGGGAAAAGAAGTCTCTGACTGGCCTTTTCACAAATGGATCTGTGTTCTGCGGGGGTGGGGTGGGGTGGATGGAATATTCAGGTAAGTGAACTTGTCAACCACTTTCCAGTCACATATTCATTTATTTCAACTTGATCATTAGAAAGCATGGGGCTTCTTCTTCTTTTTTTCCTATCTGGAATTAAAGACACCACTGGAATATCTCAGAGAGGGAAAATACCGATTTAACATTTTTTTTATTATTTTAAAAGTATTATCTTTAGTAGTTGTACAAAGAAGTTTCAGCACATCAGTTGAAGAGTACACTGCATCTTGATCGATGCTACTCCTTCAACTCTTCTGCCCCATCTGTCTAAACCCCTCAAAATAGCCATTTTAAGATTAAGGACATGGAGATTTTAATCACCAGGAAAACATTCTCACAGAGGTTTTGGCTTAAAGTAGTTTTGGTCAATAAATTCTATACCAAACAAAAGTTTGTCCAGTTATTTCAACCTGCCTCCTCTATTTCCTGACTGTATTACACGACTTCACTTACTAGGAAGTGGTGATGAGTCTTTAGCATTTTGGAGATCTGTTGTCAGTTGCTATTAAAATCAAGATTAATTCATATTAACGATATGCATTTCTCAATACTCCCAGGTGACAAAATACATTAATACAACTACTGCAAGTAATTAAGCCCAATGAAGGAGGAGGGACAAAGAGAGGTTGAAAACACCCCAAATATTTGATTTTGCAATTCAAGTTTGACAGACTGTTGCCACAATAATGTGTAGGAAACTCCTCAGGGTTGCTTTTTTACTTTACATCTAATTAGGCACCTAATGAAAGAGAAGAATCCCCCCCCCCCCATGTGGTTTCTCTCCTACATATTCTTGTGCCTTTATTTAAACACGTAAACACACTACCTAGGAGTTGCAATACCCCAAAGTTTCTCCTGTGATTCAATTGCTACAATAATCTGGGGAAACTGGATAGATGAAAACATTTTATCTCCCTACTTTCCTTCTCGTTCTCGGTTTGGCCCTTTCCCATTGAAAATGCACTCAAAATATTTCTTTTATGGATTTGTATTAGATTTTTGAGATGCTCAACAGTTTATACTAATTAAAGCATACTAAGCCTTTTGAAGATTAAGTAAATTGGACAACCCTTGTTAATTAGAACATAATTTGAGGTTTGAAATTATATTACTGATGAAGTGGTCTAATTAGTATGACGATATGTTAATGGACCAGTGAGACAAAACCCTGCAGTGGAGTTTGGCATGAACCTCCCCCAGGCTTGCACGAAAATCCTCTCCTCTATACTGACATTAATAAAAGATTTCTATAGACTCCAGCCTTTCCAGGATGACATACAATTTATAGTACACACAATGCATTAGCCCATAGTACTGCTCAATTTTTTCACTATTATGAAAACTAATAAATTCGTCAAGCTGAATTAAGCATACAAATCAGATGAGGCATAGCAGATTACACAGCGAAGCGCGGTGTCTCCCGAGCCTAAATGAAATTTCAATCTAATAATTCCTTCCTGGCCCCGTCATAATTTGTTTAGAGATGTTGTTCTACTTCTTTCAAAGCGCTATTCGCACTATAATTAAATGATACTCAAGCTTTTAACTTTGATTTATTTCATTTCACGAAGCTGGAGACAGTGAGAGAGCTGTGCGGTGTTCTTTCTTTTTTTAAAAAAAATTTATTTACTTGAAAATTACCCTGACTGTTGTTGGGGTAGAAATTAAACACCTACGCGCGGACTTGAACCGTCCGGCTCGAGCCTCATTCATTCATGCCAGCACCCCCCTCCCCGCACCCCGAGCCCCAGTCCTCTGTTTAGGCTGACTCCGGCTCCTCCGAATCCCCTTTGGCTACTATTTATGATTTTCCTGCGCACTGGGGGAGAGAAAGGCGAGCCGCGGGCGGCGTTGGGAAGCGGAAGGGGTTTCAGCACCGCGGACAGCGCCCGCGCGCTCCCGGGGGCCGCCCCGGCCTCTCCAGCTCTGCGGGGCTGCGCTCTCCTTGGGATGCCAGCCTCTGCCTGGGCCAGGTCAGGAGTGGACAGGCGGCTCCCCCGCCCCCGCTCCTCTGTGCCCCCGCCGCGGGGCTTCTGGGTGCTGACCACTCCAGGGGTCCCCTCTCTCTCCACGCGGCTTTCTTTCCACTTTGTTTGCGTCCCGGCGCGCGCCAGCGCCTCTCTGGCCCGCCGCCCGCCCTCACACCTGCTCGCCGTCCCCCGGCGCCCGGGGCCTGCACCTGCTCCTGGTCACCCCGCGTGCGGGTCCTGCCACCCGCAGGGGCCTGCGCGCGGGTCCCGGGGGGGCATTCTCAGTCGGGAGAGCACCCCGTGTCTTCTGCGATCTAGGGAGGTGGAAGCATCGCCCCTCTACCCCAGAAGTAGATGGAAGATGAGCTCGTGAAGGGGAGGAAGACGACGCGTTCGGGCGCGTGTGTGCGTGTGTCCTGTGTGTGATTGTCTCATTTTGCAACTGGAGCTAAGACCACTTCTCAAGTGGTCTGCACTGGGACACACGTGTGAGCAAAGTGTAAGCTAGAAATCGTCGCTGGGGCGCAGGGCACTGTGGAAATGATGAGCGCGGGCTTGTGCCAGCCCGCGAGGGTGCGTGCGTGTGTGTGCGCGTGTGTGTGTGCGCGTGTGGCGGGGTATTCGGCAGCACATGCGCTCTATAATTTCTGGCCCTTTCTTCCTCTGTCAGTCGCCTCTTCTCCCTTTGATGGTAGCTAATGAAGAAGAATCAATCCGAGCAGGTGCTGGCTAGTGGATCCTTCCCAAAACGCAACTCGGCATCGGGGACACCGGGGAGGAAGAGGTGGGAACGGAAGGCAGAGGAGTGTGTGTGTGTGTGTGTGTGTGTGTGTGTGTGTGTGTGTGTGTTGGTGGGGGCGGGTACCGGATGGGGGGGTGGAGTCGCATGCGCACAGGAGACCCGAGCAGGCTCGGCCGCTGTCCAATCCGCTGAGAGCGGGGGAAAGCGGGGGAGAGAAAGCCGGGCCGCCCCGCCGCCCCATGCCTTTTCCGCACCGGGCGCCCGCCGGGCCGAGGGGGCTGGACGCGCCGCGCCGACCTCCGGACACTGGGAGGTGGGATCGATCGCGTGGAGGCGCGCAGGGCCCGGGCCGGGGGTACCCGGCCGCGGCGGGGTGTTGGGGACCGGGCTGGGCCGGGTGGGGACGGGGGGGCCTGAAACTTGGTGGAGAGCGGGGATCGCGGAGGAGGCGGGCGGCGCGCGGGGCTCCTGGAGTCCAGGAGAAAGCCCCAGGCCGGGCTGGCCGGGGCCACAACTTTATTTGGGAGTTCCTCGCCCGCCCTCCTTGTCCCCCCCGGGGCGGCCTGTCCCTAGAAGCGGACCCGGTGGAGGCCAGCCCTCGGGTGGCACCGCCCGCTGACCTCAGAGCCCCCCCCCTCCCGAACCGGTGGGGTGGGTGGGGCCGGGGCGCGGGCGGCGACGTCGGGGCGCGCGCGGGGCGGGGAGGGGGGGCGAGGCTGAGGCGCGGATCCAAACCGATCTGAGGCGGGAGGGAGAAGGGGCGAGCGGCGAGGCCGGGCGGGGAGCGGCGCTTCCCGGCAGGGGAGGGCGGCGGCGCGGGGCGGGGGTGGGGTGGGTGGGGGAGGGCGGGAGGCGGGCGGAGGGCGGGGGCGCGGGGCCGGCGCGGGGAGCGGGGACTATAACTCCGCGGCCTCGCGGAGCGGGGGGCACTGTGGGGCGCTGAGGTCTGCAGCCAGCGCGTCACCCCGGAGCCTGGCCGCGGCGAGCGGAGCGGCGCAGCCGGGGCCGGCGGCGGCGGCCGCGCACAACTTCGCCCCTTCCCGGTGCGCCCTCGCCGAGCACTTTTCCGGAGAGTCGTCGCCGTGGGAGCGGCCCGGCGGGCGGGCGGGAAGATGATGATGATGTCCCTGAACAGCAAGCAGGCGTTCAGCCTGCCGCACGGCGGCAGCCTGCACGTGGAGCCCAAGTACTCGGCCCTGCACAGCGCGTCGCCGGGCTCCGCGGCGCCCGCCGCGCCCGCCGCCAGCTCCCCGGGCGGCTCGGGCAACGCGGGCGGCGGCGGCGGCGGCGGCGGCGGGGGCCGGAGCAGCGGCGGCAGCGGAGGCGGCGGCGGCGGCGGCGGCGGTGGTGGCGGTGGAGGCGGCGGCGGAGGCGGCGGCGGCGGCGGCGCGGAGGCCATGCGGAGAGCTTGTCTGCCAACCCCACCGGTGTGTATCTCCGCCTAATCACCGCTCGCGGGCGCATGCTGACAGCCCCCTCCACCCGCTTGATGTTTTTTTCATGTCTGCACAGCAAATCACCCCACACCTCCGAACCCATGCACCCCCCCCCTCTTAAGTATGCAGCGGTCTTGCCTGCGTCCTATTAATTTTGATGACCTGGCAGCGTCCGCCGGTGGCACTGTGCTGCGATCCGCGCGCGCCACTTTTTCCTCCTCTTCCCTCGCTCGCGCGCGCGCCTGCTTCTCGGCGTGGCTTTCCTCCTGGCTCCCGTCCATCCGTCCGTCCTCCCGCGTGTTGGCCGGATGGTGATGAGGACGGTGATGAGGAGGATGAGGCTGAATTCGTGGAAGGCGCTGGGAGCGCGGCGCGCGCGGTGACGCGGCGAGCGCCGGGCCGGGCCTCGAGGGGGGGGGGGGAGGGCGGGTTGAGCGCGCACAATTCCCTGCTGGGCGTCATGTGTGCCTTCTACTTGCAATTGCAGAGCAATATCTTCGGCGGGCTGGATGAGAGTCTGCTGGCCCGGGCCGAGGCTCTGGCCGCCGTGGACATCGTCTCCCAGAGCAAGAGCCATCACCACCATCACCACCCGCCCCACCACAGCCCCTTCAAACCCGACGCCACGTACCACACCATGAACACCATCCCCTGCACGTCGGCGGCGTCCTCCTCCTCCGTGCCCATCTCGCATCCGTCCGCGCTGGCCGCCGGCACCCACCATCACCATCACCACCATCACCACCACCACCACCAGCCGCACCAGGCGCTCGAGGGCGAGCTGCTAGAGCACCTGAGTCCCGGGCTGGCCCTGGGTGCCATGGCGGGCCCCGACGGTGCGGTGGTGTCCACGCCCGCGGCGCACGCCCCGCACATGGCGCCCATGAACCCCATGCACCAGGCGGCGCTGAGCATGGCGCACGCGCACGGGCTGCCCGCGCACATGGGCTGCATGAGCGACGTGGACGCCGACCCGCGGGACCTGGAGGCGTTCGCCGAGCGCTTCAAGCAGCGGCGCATCAAGCTGGGGGTCACCCAGGCCGACGTGGGCTCGGCGCTGGCCAACCTCAAGATCCCGGGCGTCGGCTCGCTCAGCCAGAGCACCATCTGCAGGTTCGAGTCGCTCACGCTGTCGCACAACAACATGATCGCGCTCAAGCCCATCCTGCAGGCGTGGCTGGAGGAGGCCGAGAAGTCCCACCGCGAGAAGCTCACCAAGCCCGAGCTCTTCAACGGCGCCGAGAAGAAGCGCAAGCGCACGTCCATCGCCGCGCCCGAGAAGCGCTCGCTCGAGGCCTACTTCGCTATCCAGCCGCGGCCCTCGTCCGAGAAGATCGCCGCCATCGCCGAGAAGCTGGACCTGAAGAAGAACGTGGTGCGCGTCTGGTTCTGCAACCAGAGGCAGAAGCAGAAACGGATGAAGTACTCCGCCGGCATCTAGGGGACCCAGGGCCTCTCCGGGAACCGGGGGACCGGGGACCGCTGCCCGGCCGCCTTCCCTCCTCCCGCCCGCCCGCCCGCCTCGCTCTCCGTCCCGCTCTCCACCTCCCTCCACCCCACTCTCCACCCCTTTCCATCTCTCTCCATCTCTCTTGCTTTCTCCATCTCTCTCTCCATCTCCCTCCCCTTCTTTCCTTTCCACTTTGGGCGACCAGAAAGAAGTCCAGTCAATGTGAATCCTGAAAAAAGCGAGGGTTGGAGAGGGAGCAGAAGAGCGAGCGAGCGAGCCACGGAGTCAGCGAGAATGTGAACCTTTGCTCAAAGTAGAGAGATAGAGGGGGGGGGAGGGGTCTGTCAAGTTGGAGCAAGGTCGCCTCCCCGCACTGCACGCGGGCCGCGGCGGAGGCGGGAGCAGCTGCGCCGAGGACACCGATGCCCGGCTCCCCACGCCGGCCAGCGCCAGCAAGTAAGATTCGTTTTTATTCTTACGGCCGTCGCCCTTGTACGAGTTTCAAAGTACACTTCGCAGCTATTTTTCAGAAATAGAAAATTGATTCAGGACTGAAACTCTAAAGTAGAGTTGATGCTTAATGTGATAGAGACATCTCTAAAGTATTTTGAATTTAAGAAAAAAAAAGAGGGCAGATTTTCTGCATTTACACTGTATATTATATATATATTTTTATTGTGGTTCTTAACTCCCCTTCTTCCTTCTCTGAAGTGTTCATGCTTAAGAAAGGCGTCGCCTGCTGTGTTCACTGATCTTGAAAGCTATTATTAGATTATTGCCAAACAACCCTCTGTAAATTATTAATTTATCTCTCTAGCAACTTAATTTTGTGCACATTCTAATTAATTAAATGTCTTTAGTCTTTAAAAAAAAGGAGAAAAATATAGCTAGTGGTGTTGAAAATTTTTTTTTTATTTGATGAGTTTACCGGATTTTTACAGCTTTCCTGTTAGGCTGCATTGCTTTTGGCCTATTTGTATATTCTCACTTTGGGATGAAGATTGTTTTCCTTTGTTTTTTGCTGGTAGTGTTCTGATTTGTGAGTTGACGCTCCGTAATGGATGTCCTAATCGTGTAGACCTGATTCACTGTCCTGAGTATTGCTTACTTCCTTACATATTTAATGGGGATTCCCAGATTGTCACCAACTCACAGTGCTCCCTCACTGGCCCTTACACACTTACCCACACACACACACACACACACACACTCATCAGTAACAGAAGCGAGAAAGCAATTGAAAGCATGGCTGTTGCATCATTCTCTCGCTTTAGGTGCATTTTCCACTTGGTGCTTGGCCCTCCAGATCTAAGATTCACCAAGGTATTTCAATCTTCCAGTTTTCAATTGCTTTGTTGACTACCTTTGGACATTTATAGAAATTCTTTCAGTTTTTTTTTTCCTTTTGGAGGTTGGTTTGTAGAAAAACAAATTTGAACTCTAAGACAGTGCACTGCTTCTACATTCATATTGTTTGGTAAAATTCTTTTTGAACAAAAAAAACAGGTACATGGAGACTGGTACTTTATCTGTTGTAAATATTTCATTCCAAATGATGCACATATAGATATATTCTTACAAATTTTGCTGTATTGCTGTACCATTGGAGGCTCCCTGAGTCTTGAGTTCTGTATATGACCTGGTTTCTTGTTTTTGTTAATAGATGGTTTATTTATTATGGTAATGTATTAAGTTATTTTGGGTGCTGTTTGATTGTCTTTCATTGAAGAGATGATTTTAATGTTTTATTGGCAAAGTATGCTGCTTTTTTCATTAAAATATGCTATTAATATTAAATGGCTTTTTAAAATGTGATGCTGCTTTAATCATTTATGTGGGAAATATTTTGGTGGGGATTCTTTTGTAAAGGTAGAAGCATGTTTTTTGATGGTTTATAGGAACTGGCTGTTATCAAAGTATGGCCTGGACTCAGAGGAGGGTGTTTCTCTGGGAAAGTGGAAAAGAGCAGGATTTATAACAGCATTGTAGAAGCTAGAGCTCACCTCACAGAGTGCTTTGCCTTTCTGCTCAGAGGAAATTATGATAGTTGGCTCCAAATATCTCCTTTCTCCAGTCCTGAAATGATTCTGCAAAGAGAATTGTATAAGCAAATACTGGATAGAAGCAATTTCACCCACTGCTTCCCATCCCCAATGGGTAAAGAGAAGAAAGGAACTCAGTTCACTTGTTTTGTTTTCCTCACAGCAGTGGAAGATGGGGTGTGGCCAGGGCCAAGCCTGGGTAGCTGGGGCCAGGTTCATCCACTGGAGCTTACTATGCACTCACCACACCTGGAGAGCTATTGCTCAGGACATAGCAGAGAACACCTGGGCTACTGGCCTGTGAACTCAACTCTCTCCCTTCCTCTATTTCTTTCTGTCTCTCAGTCCCCATCTCTTTATAAAGAATCTCTCATCACTGCAATAGACAGGCTGGGACAGGGAAGCAGCCATTTTTTGGTCATATCTGGGACTCAGTCTACTCCAGAGTTGGAGGAAGTGTGTCAACACTAATCTAGAATAAGGAAATTCTGCCCACTCAAATCAGCTATTTCTTTTTCTGATCCTACAATAAAGACATCTCCCTATGCGTCTTAACAGTTTTCAGGTTTCTGGTAACAGTTGAGCAACATACTAGGTTTTCAAAGTCTTTTTTCCCACAAGGTTATGATTTAGTAAATTTGCAACAATGGTGTATGCAATTAGTTACTATGAGAATATTATATTAATACACAGATCAAATGAGAGGAAGGAACAAGGTTATTCCCCAGGAGGTAATTCTGCTAACCTGAAGTGTGCCCCTTTTGATATGCACCTGTCATAGGAAGGTTCTTAGTTGGAAGGGGGATAGGAAAATAGCTCCTAAGTCAATTTTATAGTAGCTCAGGTTGGAATTAAATACTGCTGGAAATGATTATAATTTCCAGATATCACAAAAATAGTTGTAAGAGTTGGTTGGAAACTTGGTGGGAGATCTTTCCTTCTATACCAGAAGTAAATAAAACATTGGAAGAACTAATCACAGTATATATGACCATGATGCTTTAGAAAACGTGGACATGTAAGCTTCTACAAGAAAAACTATGAATGCAACTTAGTGATATTGATAGTTATTTTATTTCCGTGGTTTGAAGAAAATTCCTTCCTCCGTTCCTTTCTCTATTCTTGTGTTCAGTTCTTTAGAAAGTCTTTTAAAACAGGCAGCCCCTGTGAGTATGTTTCAGCACCATGGCTAGCGATCACCCTGCTCAACAGTTCCAACCAGCCGCAGAACTTCGTGCTTTTTTTTCATCCATAGTGGAGATGATGAATGAAATAACTTATCAGACATATATATGACAAATATCTTCAATAAATAATGCTTTCCCATATGTGAGTTTCTACCGGAAGAGTAGACTAAGAGTACGAAGGGAAAGGTGAATTAGTTAAGGGGAAGAGAGACAGATAGGTTAGTGTGTAAATGATAACACCATCAAGTGAAGAGAGATATCATGTAAAAGTGGTAAAACTTTAAAAAGTGTTGACCCAAAGAAACAAAGTGGGTGTTTATTCCGTTGGCATGTTTTGAAGTACACAAAACTTGTACATAATGATTGACTTAAGATTTTGGTGAAGAAGTTACAAAACAACGTAACAACTATAAATACTTCAACATTGGAAGATCTAAATTTCCTGTAATCCACTTAGTTTTCTTTGTCTTTTGTGCTCTAGGATTTTCTAAACAATATCACATTTTAAGTTCATCTTCTGTGTTTTGCAAGGATAAAATCTTTCTTGCCTATAGGATGGAAATGTTGCCATTCTTACAGGCAACAAATATTTATATTTAAACCATAAATATATGTTTTATAGGAAAGCAGATTCTTTTTTAGAAAGAAATATATTTTGAAGTGTCTAACTGATGAGAGCTGCAAAGGCAGACCAAGCCAAAAAGTTTCAAAGAGAAGGGTATTGAAGGACAAATTAAAGGTAAGAATAGTGATCTAAAATCCTTGAGAGATGTCCTTTTGGTGTTGATTTTCTAAATGCCAAAAAATAGATATCAAAATGTGTCTGAAAATCCTCGTTTTATCAGTTAAATGCATTGGCATTCATATCTCATTTCCCACTTTTTCTCAATATCCACAATTGATTAAAAATGAGATATGAGTAGGCTTAGTGATATAAGTAATCTTCCTAAATTTTATGTTTTGTAACAATGTAGTTTTATTTTTTAAACTTCTCTAGAAGCAAGTTACCTGATTGTTTTTGTTTAAAATGGTCACGTGAACATGAGATAGAACAAGCCATTAGCTGTATGCTGGAAGTGCTATAAATAAAAACTGAGATGGAGCAAGGCAGTGCCAGAAAAGATCCTGTGCTGAGTGTGGTCTGGGCGCCTATAATCTCAGCACTTGGGAAGCAGAAGCAGGAGGATCATGGGTTCAAGATTAGCCTGGGCTACATAATAAGATCCTTTCTCAGAAACACAGCACAGCACACCAGAAGTATATCCTGAATGTTATCCAAGTGTCCTGTCCACCACTCTCCACAATGCAGTTTCTTTGGGGGTATTTTGTATTAGCCCAGTTCGTTAATTCTTTATCAAATTAAGTCTCATTGACACCTGGGGGTGTATGGAGAAGAAAAGTATGAAAATGCAAGTATAACCTAGGATTTACAGACAATGTAATACTCGCCTATTTTCTATAAAATACATTCTGCTATTTAACAACATATAAACATACTTTATGTTGTTCAAGAACAAATTCTGTGATCTCTTTTTGCTGAGTGAGAGAATTGGATCTTGGGGCCAAAAGGTTTTATTTTACACGTCTAATGAATCAATTAATTTTCATCTATTGGATAAGCTCTTGAAGAAAGGATGGGAAACAAGCCACTTGATTTTATAAAACCTATTATTCAGAGGGTAAATTCAAAATGTTTAGGTGATTAAATTTAGAAATTTGTCTTTGCAATTATTTGGTCCCAACAGCCGGGTCTTTCTCCCCC